TGAAGGGGGAAGACTTGGTGCCTGACTTTATTGATCAGTTCGTCTTTTGAAGCATCATCTCTCTGGAGTGTTCCTAGAAAATCCATTGCCTGAGTGCTGCTAGCATTAATGAAGATAGCTGCTTAGGAGGTTTGTTCTTTGAGGCTTCTTGCAGTCCGTGGTGACTGAAACCATGGCAAAGCCAAAAAAAAAAATCTTTTCAGTAAAGAATGTTCATAGCAGAGCTGCCAAATGTCGCGTGTCAACAGAGGCGACCCGAGCAGGGTGCGGGGCCTGGGGCAAATCAGTCCATGCGGGGCCCCACCCTGCTTCGATCCCATGGGCCCCAGGCCCAAAGAAGCTGCTGCCACCTGGGGTGGGGGGTAGCAAGCGGCTGGACGCGGTGTCGCCGCTCCGCCTGGCTCTGCACCACTGCAGCTTTGCCCAGCTCCGCGGGGCCCCCAAAGCGTGGGGCCTGGGGTGGTCGCCCCGATTCGCCCCCCTCTAGGGATGGCCCTGCATGTCAGCAAACTAGACCTAGACCAAACTGATGGTATCTGTTGTTTGGCATATTATAAGGCTTCTACAGGGGACTCCCAGCCCTAGTACATTTATTTTCCTGCTTCTCTGGAATCATCTGGGAAGTGGATTGAGCAAGGGGCATGGGGGGGACAAGTGCATTCAGCCCGCATCATGCTGCACTGAGTCACCAGGAGATGCCATACGAATGAATCATGTCAGGTTCTCGAAATGGTCAGTGGCTACAGAGCAACAGACCCATTTCAGTGCACGTCTGTGATGGGGTCCCACTGCCTGGTGACCTTCCGTTGTGTTCAGAACAAAGCTGTGGGCTTGGGGGTGGGCAATAGCAATGGGTAGTTTCGTTTTGGTTTTTTTTAATGCTTGGGTCAGTATTCAAAATGCCCATGTCTGCTACGTTAGCTGTAGCTGCTTTTTCTCTCTCTCTCTCTCTCTCTCTGTTCATTGGCACTGCCTAATTCCTGCATGCTCACTCAACTGGGATATGTGGGGAAATAGTCTGTGTCAGCAAAATTCAGCCTTGTTGGTTTTGGAAGGACTAATTTGGCAGGCTTCATTAGGTGTCGGGCAATGGGGATGCTTGTACCTATATTACCTGTAGCATTGCCTTGGTTGGGGGGGGGTGGGGGCTGAAAGTTGGGAAGGAGTTGGCTACGTGGAATACATCCCATTGTTTCTTGAGCATACTGTGCTTGTGAGAGGAAAGCATCTGAAATCCGACTCTCCCCAGTTGACCTAAGACTCGTCGTTATCTAACCCAAGCCTTCTATGGGTTGGGGGGGAGCGAGAGCATGAGCGGGAGCATGAACGAGCATGCATAAGCCTTGATGCAGCTCAGGTCTATAGCCTTCCTTTTGTTGTACTTTTTTAACATCTCTCCCACTGGCTGAGTTGCAGGCTACGGTTTCATCCATCTGAGCGGGTGAACACAATGCATCATCTAAAACAGAAGGAATGTACTCCTTGGATCTTTCTTTCAGTTTTGTAGTGGAGCTCATGCTGAAGTTTTTCTCAAGTTTTCCTTGGGTAACATGTAGGGATGTCTGGCTTTTTCCCCTTCTTCACCTTTTCCAATAACTGCATTCAGAGTGGGTGAATTAAAGCACCCCAGTACACCTTATCTTCCATGTTTTATTTTTGAATCAGTTGCTCACTGAATGCAATTGTAAATGACTCATGAGAAAAAATGCTTTTAAGATTAATTTAATTGCCTCTTAAAGGATCATTAAAGCAAACGCTTCTAAAAAGGGCCAGTTGGTCATGCCTGGCAGATGTACTGCAAAGAAACTTTGGCTTTCGATCATTGCTTATAATAGCCAACAGAGGGGGAAAATGTAACATGTAATTGCAGTTTAATGGACTTGGCATATTTCAGCAAACGAGAGGATGACTTTTAAAGTAATGACTGATCCAGGGAAACAGAGCGCGGGGTCTTCTGTGCCTTTATGCACACAGTCACAGTGACGTCATTCTTGGTAACAAGCTGAAGAAGCTGGTACACAACAGCTAGATGCAGCTTTCCTGCATTTTGAAGAGCTGCTTCAGCCTGAAGCCTCACAATTACTAAACAACCAACTTGAATGCTAAAACAGGGAATTGCCTGCACAGGTCCCTTGCAGTCTGGCTTTGTAGTAATCACAGGTCAACAAGTGAAGCAGATTCTGTAAGAGCCCGGTCCATATGCAGATTGACACGATGGGGACAGACTTTTCACGAGTGTTGAGCTTGTGCTTAACATCAGTATGCCTTTTTATTCCCTATCTCTAAAAGACCTCTTACTTGGTTCTTAGGATGCAGTGCCCTAACATTGCCATGTGAAAATACAGGATTCCTGTATTTTAAATGTGCGAACAGAATAGTGTCTAACCTGCCTTGCTTGGTTGCTTGTTTGATATTTTCTGTGCTGTTTGTGGGTTGCTTTTGCATGCAGCCACCAGGTGTGTGCAGAATGTTAATATCAGATACTTACTCTTTTGCCCAGCTCTGTAAGGATCCAACTCATTTTGTTTGAGGCCTGGCGAGATAGCACTTGAAGTGCACATAAGGTTGTTTCTATGGCAACTTCACAGCTGGATTAAGTAGCCCAGACCACAGCACATCATTCGCAGGCCCAAACAAGTTATTTAGCGCCTTGATCAGCTGCTTGAACCGATGATTTGTAGACCAGTGGTTGTGATATGTATAAAAAGGTATAAAAATAGTGTCAGTTACTGAATCACCACCCCATCCTATATTAAGCACAGTAACACCCTACATAATCCCAGCTTCCTGTTTGAGAGGAGGTCAGCAAAGGAGCAGATCTGACTTCTCTCATTGTAGCTTTGAACATGCATCTATGTTGTTATCCATCAGCTTTCCTGACTCTCTTTTTTCATCCAGTTAGAGCCGGGCACCTTCCCCCTGCTGTTGCTGTAAGGGACAAAGTTATTGAGTGTGTTGCAGTTCACCATAAGTACTGAGCACATGAGAATTAACTAAATATTGCTATACAAAGCTAGAAAGCAGTATTTTTTCAGAGTGGACACTGATGCCATAATTTTGAGTGACAGTGATCTTACAATTTTGTTAAGTCTGAATCATAAAATGCCTTGAGATTAAAAGCTGGTTTTCTTTTGCAGCACATGCAGCAAAGATGATCTCTGTCCAGAGCCTTTTGTTAGATGCAGATAGCTCGGGAAGCCAGAAGGGGAAGCGCATCAAACTAGACTTGAGTTGAAACCTTTTGCCCCGAGGTTGGCTGCAAGTCGTTTAACAGGGCCAGTATGATACATCAGGGCATCTCAGGAAACCCAAAGGAACCAACAAACTTCTCATAGGACAAACTGAAGGAAGATGAAAATGTTCATTTGCGGTTCTCTGCTGAATGCCCCCTGCCTGTGCAGCAAGTGTTCTGTGTGTGCATTTAAATCAAGGAAGTGGGTTCATCTTTGCTCTTCATTTTGAAATAAAAAAAGAATAATGTCCCCCTGGGAGGCTGCCTCTGGTGCAGGCAGCTGTGCAGTGGGGAAACGTTTGAGGGTGTGACTTTGTAGCTGCAATTCCTGGTATTTCACTTGCCCTAGGAAACAACTTAAGCTTGTAGCAGGGAAGCAGCTAAAAATACTGCTCTGGCAGCGGTTCTGTCATTGCCTGTGTGGGAGTCTGGCTTGCTGCCGTTGCTACCTGATGTCTTAGAGGTCATTTCCTTCCCTGCCTGCAGGGAAGCATGAAAGCGGCTGAGGCTCAAGCTCAGCCTTTGCTGGTGCGTTGTATTGCAGGGTGCGCTGGCTCAGCCACTACCCTGCTTTTCTGAGTGGTCCTCCCCAAATGCCCTCTAGTTTTGACAGGGCACTTGGGCATGACTGGAGCTCAGGGTAATGAAGCAACAAGGTTTGAACAAGTGTGTGGTATTTGCAAACCTGATTCCTTCTTTCTGCCACCTGCCAACTTCCTGTATTTGCAGAGAGTTTTATAATGGCACGTGTCTCATCTGGACTTTGGAGGCTGAGCAAAGATGAAATGACCTGGGCAGACTCGCTATGTGGCATGGCTGGTGCACAGGCATCATGCAGTCTTATTTAGGGGACCTCGCAAGAGGTAAAACTTGGGCATGAAGCCCTGCCGGCAGAAGTGACTGGGGGAGAACTAAGGTTCTTGCCGCTGCTTCTTTAATTGCATGTAAGTCTGGAGAGGAGCTTTTTTACCCAAAGGGTAAGATGCTGGACTGATTGAACAGCCATGTGCAAGTCTCCTGTCCCTTCCCTGTCTCCCTTGCTTCTATGTATGGACAGTCTTTCCTCCAGCATCTCTCAGCCAGCCCTGTGAGACTCCGCTCTGCGCTGGGGACTGTAACAATACAGACAGGGAGGAGAGTGCATTTTTTAGGTTTGTAACATATATTGGACTGCTGCTGTGGCCTGGTCAGTCAAGCTGGAGCCATAAGCTGTGTTCTTCAGTTTCTGGAGGGTGATGTGACCTTAAATTTGAGTGTATGTGCATAGAGTGTACAGAGAACTGCTTCAAAGGCCTGTGTGGTCCCCACCTTCCTACAGATGTTTTGTTCTTAGCCAGTGCCATGCACTTGCACCCCTCTGGTCCCCTAGGTATCTTGAATACCTTGCATAGCTGGCTGTTGACAAGCTACATCCCTCTTACCTGTGGGGGGTGTTCATGGATCAAGTACAAAGCGTATCTGACCCTGCAAAGAGAGATCTGCTCTTTCTGGGTTCAGTGGCAGCTCTTTCCCTCCTGCTAGCAATTGCGCGAGAAGTCGACCCTGTTTTTGTATGTGTGGCACCAACGGTTAGTGTCTGGAATACCCTGCGTTCTTCTAATCCTAGCTGCCGGCTCTGATGTTGTAAAACTAAGTTCAAGTGGGGGATTGATTTATAATGGGTGAACACGATTTTTTTAAGAAAGGTTTCTTACATTTAAGGAAAAACTCCAAAAAACTAGACCCTTTTTCCCTACCTAACTCCCTTCTGCCTCTGTTTGCCATGCAGGAGTCCGAGTCAGAGAACAAGCTGGATGGAGAGACTGCATCAGACAGCGAAAGCAAATCGGAGTTTGGAGGGTCAGCTCCAGTACCCACCTCTGATGACACTCCTGAGGTCCTCAACCGGGCTCTCTCCAACCTGTCTTTGAGGTAGAGCTGAGTAAATTCATCCGTCCTTCCAGAATCCGGAGCAAAACGCTCTCTCTCCCCCTTTTGCTAACGGTTACTTCACTGGACTAGGTAGTGTGTTGGATCCTGTCAGCTAACAGAGATGAGGAAGTTATCTCCTTGGGATCATCACCTGTTGGGAAGTCTGAGGCAGAGCCAGGAAGGGTCCTTGGACCTTGACCCGAGAGCCATTCTCTTCTCTGCATCTCTTTCCCCACCTTCTGCTTGTCATTTTAGGTCATGAACTCTTGGGGTGGGGGGAGACATGGCCATTGGCTCTGTTCAGGTGCTACCTTACTTACAGATCAATAGCCACGATTATTCTTAAAGTGAGTAGAGACTGAGAGCATGAGTGAACTGCAAAGGATCCCCCGGGTTCTGTATTCAGCTTCCCTCTGCAGACCAGGACTGAGCTAATGTATCACTTGTCCTCTGCACTGTAGGGAAGAAAAAGATAATTTCCAGTAAACACCACTTCCTGCCAGTGTTGTTTGGTGGGAGAGTGTGCAGAGGAGATAGGAAAGCAGCAGAAGTTACTCTTACTAGAGAGGCCTCATGTGCTGATTCACATTCGTGCTTAACATTTGAAGTTTTCTCTCTCTCTGCCCTAGATGGAAGAACTGGTGGGTGAGAGGCATCCTCACTCTGGCAATGATTGCCTTCTTCTTCATCATCATCTACCTGGGGCCCATGGTTTTAATGATGATTGTAAGTTCTTCTGGGAGACACCTTGTCACGCATTTTGTGGTACGGAGTAGAGGGTCATCAAGTATGTGCTGCTGGCGGTGGGGTATAGTGCCCTTCTTGCCCTCAGGTTGCCACAGCGACCCTGGCCCTGTAGTTGTGCCTAATAGGCCTTGCTGCTGAATTACCCTTGTGGTCAGCAAGCCTCTGGGAAGAAGCGTTCCACGTTGCCAGTGCTGTTTCTTTGATTGCTCTCATAGCTTTTGTGTGTCACTACAAAGGTTTTTTGCTTGGGCAGTGTAATTGTACACTTGTAGGTCCCAGGTTTGGGTACTCCCCTGTGGATTGTCCCTCCACTGGCTTTCTGTCCTGTTTGGAAAGCCCATATCAAATATAGCAACCATATCTCTGCTACGTTTCTTCCTGGCAGCGATCCAAAAATGCCAGTCTTCTTGAATTTGTGGGATTAGGTTTGGTGCTTTCTGCTGCGCTGTACCAGTCGCATGGCTAGCAGGGTGGTATGGTCTCCATCGAACTGACCCAACTCCTTCACGCCATGGACCATTGGTGTTCGGTGCTACATAGAAAACTCCAAATGCACCTGTGAGCTTTTAGAGTTTGGATTTGCCAGCTGGGAGCTACACTGGGATTCAGGCTAGGAATGTGCTTTCCCAGTTAAGCGTCTGAGGCTGAGCAGCTTCTCCTAAACAGCTTGAAGAGAGTACATAATTGCTGAGTCTCAGAAAGAAAAGCCCTGTGTCAAATTTGGAGGCAGTGGGGGGAGGAGGTGATGGGTAAGAGATGGTCATTTGCTTTGTGGCCTCATTGAGCTCCTCCCAGTGTCCACACTTCATACACAGACCTCCTCACTGAGGTTTACAGATGGACTTAACCAGGACCCTAGTCAGTAACATTTAACATTTCGTCTGCAGGTGATGTGTGTGCAGATCAAGTGTTTCCATGAAATCATCACAATTGGCTACAACGTGTACCACTCGTATGATCTGCCCTGGTTCAGGACGCTTAGCTGGTAAGCAGAACAGCTGAGAAGTCATCAGCTGGTTCATCAGTGGGTGATGCTGTGTTTCCTCTAGAAGGATCCCAAAGGACGTGCCGCCTCCATGATGTTCAGTGGCTTCTGGGCATTGTGTCCAGCAGGCTTTGTTCCATTGTTTGGTTGTCTGAATCTCCCAGTCTCTGAAGTGGGGAAGTGTCAAATGGTGTCTCCAGTTGAAGAGAGAGGGACAGTATGGCTTGCCCATTCCCTTCTTTCATCTGTATATTTACCCCCTGGTGCTTCCACAAGTTGTTAGTGTGTTTGGGATGAAACGGGGCTGGCTGTGCCCCACTGCTTGTTACATGGTTAATGGGTGTACATGGAAGGAGAGGCACGCTGCCTTTAGTAGCTAGGAGTTGAGAGGACTGTTAAGCAGCACCACCTACAGTCAGTACCTTTCCATGCATCTCAACAGAAAAAGCTGGTTGGGTTACCAATATACGGTAGGGGTCAAGAGACACTTGGGGTGTTGCATCTAATACAAATGTCTAATGTCTTAGTTGTTGCGAAAAACAGTGAGAGCCTCGTTTCTTTTAAGACTTTTCTGTACTGGGATGGTGGTTCCTGTCTAAAAGGAGTGTGCATCTGTTCCCAGGTACTTTCTGCTCTGTGTCAACTACTTCTTCTATGGCGAGACTGTCACAGATTACTTCTTCACTTTGGTGCAGAGAGAGGAGCCCTTGAGAATCCTTAGCAAATACCATCGCTTCATTTCCTTTGCCCTCTACCTAACAGGTATCTAAAATAGTTTCCTGCAGACTTCATGTGGATTCATGTGGAGCTCATTTTCAATCTTGCATCCAGCCTTCTCTACACTCATATCTCCCCACCCCAGCACAGGCTATTTTTTGGTGAATTTACTTCTCGGGGTGAAATGATACGGCATGTACAGCTCTGTTATGGGCTGCTTTTGCATTTGAGGGTCAAATGAGACTCAGCCCTGCCCTTGAGATGCCAGAGAGAGAACCTTTTTAAAAATATAACCAGTGCAGAAATGTAGCTACAGAGCTCTTCTTTCACTGTGTAAATGCTCCTTCCTGTGCAATGGAGGTTACACTAGCCAACTGAGAGCTCAGAGTGCCTCTAAGCTGGAAGTGAAGAACCTGTCTTCAGGTGTCATTACATGGATTTCATGGAGATAGAAGGTCCAGGAATGAAAAATTAAACTGTTGTCAGAAAATGTCTTGCGCAGGGGATTGTCCTTGTTAATTGATTATTTGTATCTAGGGTTTTTAATATATTATGCGTTTTGATGCAGTAGACTGCTTTTGTGCCCACAGTTGCACATTATCATAATGCTGCAACTTTATGCTGGAGCAGAAGCAATGAGGAGATGTTGCAGTGATAGTGAGAATAATTTTCTTACTATTGCAAGATCTGATCTTGTTCTCTGGTTTTGTTTTTCTCCACCCTCCTCTAGGTTTCTGCATGTTTGTTCTGAGCTTGGTGAAGAAGCACTATCGTCTCCAGTTCTACATGGTAAGGTTTGACCAACAGTTCAGCTTCTCCAGAGTTAATTGTGTCTGGATACAGAGAAATGGCAAGGCTGTTTGCATATGTTGTGTAGAAGAATGCAAGCTTATAAGCACTTACCTGTTACCTGTGCACTTTGAAGCTGCCTGATGCAAAAGCTGTTCCTGGTAGCTAACACTGGGGAGGTGGCTCTGACCGGACATCTTCCAAACTCCTTTTTGTCTGTGCTTGCAGTGCAGTTCTCCTTAACATTAAGAGCTCCTTGAGCTGAGATGGTGCAAACCTCATATTGTGACGGTAGATCACCTTGCAGGAGTGGTCTTAATCCCCCACCACTGCTGCATAGCGATGCCTACTGCCACATGATGGAGGAGGTTTGAGCTGGTTGCTTCCTGCTAGATGCTCATGCCTTCTCTGTATATGGAGTCTTTTCTCCCTGTTTTCCTGTACTCAAGTGGACTGAAGTGTTTAGGAGAGGTATTGAATAAAAAGCTCTTAGGCCAGGCAAGTTGACACATGGGGTAAGACCCATCATTTGTGGTTTATATTGCGCTCTTTCCCGAGGGTATCTAGGTGCCTGACATACTAACTATCTGTTCTCTAAACGCTACTTAATCAGCATTCGGTTTCTGCTGCAGGCTGTTGTGAGAAATGTCTTTAGGCCAACTGGATTGCATGCTGTTTTCTCTTCCAGTTTGGTTGGACCCATGTGACTTTGCTAATTGTTGTTACCCAGTCGCACCTCATCATTCACAACCTATTTGAAGGAATGATCTGGTGAGTTGGTGCTTGTTATGAGTTACTTCTGTTTCTCTTGACTAATATGCACTACGGCATTCTCCTTGTACAATGTGTGAAATAAAAGCATCTAACTAATAACCTGCATGGGGGGGTGGGGGTGGCTTCCATCAGAAATGGTATAGTGTGCATAAGCAAACCAAAAAAAAACCCCACAACCTCAAGCCAGATCCCCAGTCCTTTCTTTGATGGCTTTGTGAGGTTGGCCCCACTGATGGGAAGGACTCCCCCTGGCAGCAGAAAGCCAGTGGAGCTGGTTTCATCACTGACTCTGCTAGTCAGTGTGAGAAGGGGAGTGAGAGAAAGAAACAGGCTATAAATCTTCCTAAGCTTCCTTTAGCTGCCAGGCAGAGTTTCCATGTTGTGTATTTGAGCATGGCCCAGTGCCCTTAACAGCCATCTTCCTTAGGCCAGCAATAATGAAAAAGATGATTTTTTTCTGGGCCTTGTTACAATGTTGGAAGATATATTGTGCATTCTGGAAGTTCCCAGGATGCTTTTCCATGTGGAGAACAGCTTGTTCAGTACTAAAGTGCTGCCAGTAACGAGATGAAAGAATGAATGTATAACAGCATGTGGGATACTGGGATGAGAAAAAGTATGACTTAAATAGAGTAGGGAAGATGAGGGTGTGGGAGCTGGCGTTTAGCTGTGGTGCCCTGATTAACACTCCTTATCTTTCCAATACAAGGTAGTCGGTACAGTAGGCTGGAAGAGCACCAAGTAGGTATAGTCTGGATGCTGTTACAGAAGAATTGCTAGTGTGTGAACAATCTGGCTGCTGTGGGATAGTGCTGAATGGCTTTGCTTTCCTCCCTTCTAGGTTCATCGTCCCAATTTCATGTGTGATCTGCAATGACATCATGGCTTATATGTTTGGGTTTTTCTTTGGCCGCACCCCACTTATCAAGGTGAGTCCTGAGTTTAAGTTGTCCCAAGACACAGAATGAGACTGGTGCAGGGATGCCTTTGACACAAGATGGAGCTAGCTAGAGCAGGGGAGGGAACTGTTGGGCTCTAGGTCTGAGACTAGCACCAGTAGACAGTAGTCTTTAGGAGACCCCCTGCTGACCAAGTATGATCTGGTTACGGTATGGTTTTGGCCATTCCTCTGCCGCGCCTGCAGAGAAGGGGCTGCTGAAGCAAGTCATACCGGCTTTCCATTTCCTGGGACTTGCCTGTGATGGGCATACTCCCAGAAGAAGAGTTTGACCTAGACCAGGTTACAGGATCTGCCCTGGGCCATGGCTAGTTTATTGTCCCTGTTGAATTTCAGTTGGAAGTGGGCACCGATGGGGCTCAGTGAGGCTGATTCTGAGACACCCCTATGAGCTAGGCTTTAATATACTCTTCTTTCCCTTTACATTGCAGCTTTCCCCAAAGAAGACCTGGGAGGGTTTTATTGGAGGCTTCTTTGCCACGGTTCTGTTTGGACTGCTGGTAGGTAACCCACCATGGTATCGACTGGCTGCCTGTTCAAAATCGCATGCTGGTGCTGTCTAGCAACAAGAGTTAGTGGTGTGACAGTGGTACCTACAGTCTTTCTGTGGGATAAGTGAGGGGGCGATGGAACAGTTCAGGGACTCTCTCAAGTTGCCAGGATATTCTGGGGTTTTTCCCCATTGCAGTGCTCATTGCAAGCTGCCTTGGTGGTGCTGTGTACTCTAGCTGTTCATGCAGTGACTGATCACCACCTTCCAAGCAGAGACATACAAACAAGAATCTGCTCATAATCCCGTTAGGCAGTTACTGCTTCTCAAGAAAGTTAGCTGCATGACAGCCCAAGAATATGGCTGACTTGTAGCCCAGCATCTTGAAGTTCGCATATGAAGGTTATGTCTCTTCTTTTTTCCACCTCCCTTCCTTTCTCCCCATCTCAGCTGTCATATGTTATGTCTGGCTACCGGTGCTTCACCTGTCCTGTGGAGTACAACAATGACACCAACAGCTTCGCTGTGGATTGTGATCCATCTGAGCTTTTCCAGCTGCAAGAATACAACATCCCCCTGGTGCTACAGTCAGTCATGGGCTGGGTAGGACTCTGCACTCTGTATTCCAAATGGCTCGGTAGATGCTTGCTTGAGAGAGAGATGCTAGTTGGGCTGGAAATGCCAAGAAAAGAGTGATTTTTAAGATGCTGTAGAGGAGTAGGGTAAAACTGAACCCCTGGAAACATAGGCTGTATTTTGAGACCTATTTGCATAATAGTGACATGAACAGAGTCCAGCAGGGACCAAGCTTTGTGGTAGGTGAAGGCCTGTGCCTTCTGAGCTCTTTCCTTTGCCCAATCTACTGCTTTGCTTTCTGAAGCTTCGTACCCACAGAGGCTCCCTGTGCTTTCTGTGGAGTGAGTAGGAATTTCATGTCCAACGATCTGAAACGCGTAAGACCCACACCTGATTTCAATCTGTTGACACCAGTGCAGGGGTGAATGTCCTTTGTTTAGTCCTTAGACACTTGGGGACTGAAGTTTTCTTCGGCAAATTTTTCTGTCAAAACAGACATGATGATTATAAAGGTTTCACCTAGGATTTCTGCAAGCACTTGTGATTTTGGGTGGACAGGTGAAAAACATCTTGCAGAGGCTGGATTTGTTCGGGGGGGGGGGGGGGGGGTTGTTTTTTTTCCCCCCCGGGCTTAGAAAAGAAG